AGTGAGCTGACAAATGGATGCCCGTTGGCAGATGATCCAGGATAGGCGCACGTGGGATGCAACATTACATACAACATGAGCCCGAGGTTAGCAACCGTGCAAGCAAACGAGTTTGCGGATAATCTTCTGGGTAATGCTGGACAGCCTCCATCCTGTTGTTTTTCGTGTAACGCGCCAGTAGTATTTTATCGTGATTACTTGTATCTCACTAGACTTTCTTGGTTCATGACATTCTTTGTTTTGCCTTGCCGGCCTAATTTCATCCCCGATTCACGGAAGATCTGCTTGCCTGTGTATCCTCGCCTCTCTACTGCCGTGGTTCGTCACCCATAAACTCTCGTATCTTAGCTGCGAGAATACGGGCCGAGGGGCAGTTTGTCACGCATCTCTGACCCCTCAGCTGTGCTGCGAGATCTCGGAGTATGTTCGCAATTCACTCGCATCAATTAGCTTTCTCAAGCCATTGGGTCGAAATTCAAAGACGTTTACGAACGAAAATAAACCAGCGACACAATCCCCCCTCCCCCCTTGATCAACTCAATTTTTCAAGTGTTTTGGGTTTGCAATAAGATCACAATAAGGATAAGCTAAAGGTCGGTAGAGCTAGATGAGCCTTTCTACAAGAACTCACGCTATTGTAGAACAGCAGTAAAATTAGCCACTCGGTGACCATTTGAAGATCTGGAGAATTAGGATCAAGATGGGTGTGGAAAGACTGGGCCTCCAGTTCGTATACGACATTAGCAACTGAAACCAGAACTGGGTCTCACACTGCGCTAACCTTGTCGTCGATTGCCGCGTCCGGACCGCCATCATCAGAAATATCCAAGAAACCGACTTATCCTCAAGCAGAATGAATGAGGACCATGAGAACCAACTGTTTAATAAGGCCTTCTACTGCAACGGTTCAAAAACAACTGCTTGTTCGTTGTCAGAGTAGGAGAACCAGAAGCAGTTATTTGACTTTCTAGTGTCATCTACTCTCATCGAAGTTTTATCATAAGAGAAAACATTATCATCATTTTATTCCATTATAAAAAGAAGTTTAAAGTTAACGTTGTTGTAAACGCACAGTATTAATCAATGCTGGATACACAAAGAATCGTCTTCCGGTAACGTTTCTTGTCCAGATAGCGATTCCACAGGTAGTTAAATAGAACACAGCTAGAAGCGTATAGGAATTCATTCATCATGCAAAAATCATGGTTATTTATAAGGAAGAAAGAGGACAAGGGAATGCATATATCAAACGATTAGTTGACTGGACTGTTGTCGGCCGTTTCGATTGTTTGGCGGTTCCGACCGGAGTTCGTCTATTCTGGTTCTGATTAGTCGTCCCAGAACAAAGCAGTTTTCAGGAAACATGCTCACTCCCTGAGAAACGTATCAGAAGATGAGTTGAAAAATACACCACACGATATGGATCACAACGATAGACTGTGGCGGATTTGGCAATGGTGCTTGATATTGTGGTCCTAAAAGCATGAATTAGTTACAGAAATTGTGGAGTGAATATTATGTGAAGGTAGTTCCATATCATTATTGGCCACGACCTGAGAGAAGTGGATCCTTTTGACATTCCATCTATACCTTTTCAACTTCAACTGAATCCGTTGTAGCTTCAAGTGAATCTAACCAATCGCACTCCATTGGAAACCCCCACAAGATGACCGGGTGTCTAATCTCTACCCATTCCGAAAGAAATGACTTCTCCGAAAACCAACAAGAATGTGGAATGTGCTCTTTTCAAGTCAAGAAGTGTTTCGCAATGCAACTTCTGTGGAACGTTGTCACAATTGAATACATATTGTGCTTTTATTCTTTTGTAATTCCTACAAAGTACAGTCAAATTAACCTCGTAGAAGTCTGGCAGTTGTGAATGGTCTCAAAAATGACGATACTCCACACTGTAGCCACTTCAACCCTGATNNCCCTGATAGTTCAATTTCGACCAGATTATGAATTCCACAAAAACATAACAATCACGGTATACGTGTATTTATTCAGTGTAGGTTAACAAGACGATGGTTGTATTCCGTTGATTCCGCTCACTGGAATATTCGATATTCATACGTGTTAATTCCCACTCCCCGATTATTGTCTTTATGGAAATACCTATGGTTGTCGATGGTAAACTGCCTCCCGTGATTATTCTGTCTTTGCTAAGTAACTCTAGCTTACGGTTATGGTGTTTATTTATGCGCGCGCGCGTGCATGTGAATAAATGCTATTGCAACACGGCGAGCAGCTTACATTTATTTGTCGCTAGATGATAGAACCATTTTGATTCCGACCGACTATCCTTCTGACTTCATCTTCACGTGCAATTCTCAGTTCATCCAGGCAACCATACAATTGGAAAGTACTACATTCGGATTGCTCTTTTGTTATAATTTAGTTTACTGCGGCTGGCTCCTTGTAAAGGATAAGCCGGCTCCAGACATGATCAAGGAGTTCCTTGGGAGTTTGTTATGAGAAACGTCCCCAGCGTCACGCGGCGTTTTTTATTTTGAAGGCGCACCTCTAGCCTTTGCACAACCAAGTGCGAACTGCAAGGCAGCAGGAAGTAATCCCTCGTCTGATCCGTAAGGCAGCTGGGCGGCACATGAAAACCGCAGTCCATTGGGGACTGGTGTCCAGTCCATCGGATCATACGCCTTTTGGACGGGTTCAAACGTCCCAGGTGTCGGTCTGACGTGATGTTGCTTAGAGTTAAACCACGCAGCAGGTTTAGATCTACTGTGGTACGATAAATCAAGAATATATATATATATATATCAGTCGAAAACAAATCGGAAGCAGCTCCGTAGAAGAGGGAGAAATGCAGACTACCCCCAAAGACCGTGGGTCACTGTTGTGGCCTGAAGCGTTTACCGCGCATCACATGATTGACCAATACGACCTTCTACCACATGTACGCACGTCAGGTAGATATACTCTAGTACAATGTTGATCCGTCTTAGCCAAGCAGATATCAATACTCATCTGGCCGCATTGATTGGTTCGTTAACTGCCCGGCTTGGCGACATTCTGCTTTTGGTAACGCTTGAGCCAGAGCTGGCCCATCCGCCTGCTCACAGACTGCAAATAGAAATGGATGCATCACGCACTTATTTATTTGCCTGAATGAGACAAGGCGGTCATAATCATAGATAGGGCGGTGCTTCAGTTGAACATTTCGGTGTGAAAAATAGAATGAGAACCCAAAAGGCTCTTCTGAATGAGGAAGTGCAGAGGTCTAACAAGTTTACGAACAGAACAAATGAGTTGTGGGCTCACGTAACGTGGAAAAATTAATGAAATTTTATCCACAAACGGTCACAAAAAAATAAGTTATACCTAAAGTATGATCATTTTTTATTACACAGAAGTGAACACAGCAAAGGTACACTTTAATTTCGAATATATGCGCTAGGTCCCTCAAAATGCTGCTCGGTAGCTCCACGGTTAACCAAACGCAAATGAATTGCGTACAGAGAGAGAAAAAATACTATTTCGGTTGGTACTGTACATGGTTCGATGCTCTACAGTGGCGTCCCTTACGGTTTGACTCGAGCGAAAACTGGGAAATATGTGGAGTGTATAAACAAAAAGTATACTAAAGACGGATAAACCGACTGGTCGGACATGTTTCTCTTCCGCGTCGCAAGTCCACAGTCATCATTACCCTGACAGCCACAGCGGGGCAATTCACCCCTCCCCTCAGAACCAGAGGGTGGAAAAGACAAAGTG